TTGGAATTCTGAATCATAAAAAGTTTTTTATTTTTTTTTATCACTATGTAACAATAAGTAGAACAGAGGAGTCTGTTCATATAAGAATGATGTATATAATGAAACAATGTTTAAAGTTTGAACATAAAAAAATAAGCACAGGTATAGGAATATGTGCACAGTGGGTGAAAGCCTGTATAAGGTAGAGGTTTTACTTATAGATACAGATATATAGAAATACAGAAATATAAAAGGCAAAATTTAGGATTGATTAATGTAAGTTATATATTTATTTATTTTTATTTATTTATTTATTTATTTATTTTTTTATAAAAGGTTAAACCGAAATTAGAGAAAAAGATAAGTTAAAGAAGATACAAAATATCACATCTTAATAGGTTGAAGTTAGAATATGATTCATATGTTCAAACAGGAAATATTGTTAAAATAAATAATAGTACACTATAGAAGAAGGAGGGATAGAGTAGAACGTAATTTTTGTATAGCACTTTAAGAAGGGGAAATATAAGGTATAGGCTATATGGGAAAGACTACGGCAAAGGAACAACACATAGTTACACTGTTAATTAAATATAAATTTACATATTTTGTAAAAATTCCTAGCATAGATTTAAAAAAAGTTGTAGTTAGTACTTGACTTTCAAATATAACACATATAAAAATACAGAATTATATTTAATTAAGCACTCTTCACAACTCTGTAAAATGATAAGGGATACTAAACACTACATTTGAAATATTTAAATATAATACTAATAAATACACTGTCAGTAGTGTGGATATAGATTATAGTCATTTTTCTAATTTAAGGTCAGGTTTTTTTTTTCCTTTCTTCTCTTTGGTTCAATAATGAAATAATAGGAACATGGCAAAGGAATATAGGGGCCAACCAACCGGGCCCAATGGGATTAGGCCACTGTTAAACTAAACTATTAAACTAAACTTGACCAAAACTGAAATTCTGGTCTTTCCTCCCTCAAGTGTTGTTACTCCTGTGTCTGTCTCCCTCCAAGTCAACAGTGCTACCACCAGCTCCACCACGCAGGCTCGCTGCCTAGGTGTTCTCTTTGACTCCGACCTCTCCATCAAGCCTCATGTTCAATCTATCACCAAATCCTGTCATTTCCATCTCAAAAACACTGCGCGCATCTTCACAGTGAGAAGACGCTGAACGTCCATAGAAAAGCATTGAGCAATTGAGCTGAGAGGCGGATCGGGGCGGAGAGATCCCCCGCGCCAAGGGAGTCCAGCGCTGGAGAAAGGTAAGTGCTTAAGACACACACACAAACTCTCATGAACAGACGCATACACACTAACTAACAGACACACACACACACACTCACTCAGTGACAGACATACATACACACTCACTGAGACAGACACACACTCACTCACTTACAAAACACACACTCACTAACAGACGCACACTAACACACACAGTAACACACTCACTGACACACTCTAACACTAACACACACTCTAACACACACACTCTAACACTAACACACACACTAACACTAACACACCCACACTATAACACTAACACACACTAACACACACACACACTAACACACACTAACACACTAACTCTAACACTAACACACACTTACACACACACTCTAACACTAACACACACACACACTAACACACACACACTCTAACACACACACTCTAACACTAACACACTAACACACACACACTCTAACACACACAACACTAACACACACACTAACACTAACACACACTCTAACACACACACTCACGTTTAAAAAAAAAATGTAATCCCCCCTGCCTCCTTACCTGTGGGAGAGCTGAAGGGATTCCCTGGGGTCCAGTGGTGTCACTGGGTGGGCGGGCAGGCTGGCGGGCGCGCGAGGGAGCACTCTCCCCTGAGTGCTTCCTCTTCAACTCCCTCATCTTCCGGCACTAGTATCAGTGCGGTGCGCGAGGGAGCTGAAGAGGAAGCACTCAGGGGAGAGTGCTCCCTCGCACGCCCTCCAGCCTGCCCACCGGGTGATACCAGGGCCAGCCTCGGGAGGCCTTAAGGTGGCCAGCTCCTGGACCCCCCAGGATAAGAGACTGGCCACAGTGGCATACACACCGGGTCGCAGGGTGGCCGGGCCCCCTGGTGGGCTCGGCTCTGTCGTAGCCGCGACCCCTGCCACCCCGGTATGTACGCCACTGTGCCTCACCCTTCTGTCAGTCCCTACATTGGCTTCCTATAAAATATAGAGCTCAATTTAAAATTCTGGTTCTTGCTTTCAAATCGCTACATAGTGCTGCTCCAACCTATCTATCCTCCCTTATACACAAGTATGTCCTGTCTAGGCCCTTACGATCTGCTGAAGACTTACGTCTATCTTCTGTCCGTACTCCCACCTCTGATGCTCGCCTTCAAGATTTCTCGAGGGCTGCACCGTTCCTGTGGAACTTGCTTCCCTCCTCCGTTAGATGCTCACCCAGTCTCCACTCCTTCAAAAAATCGTTAAAAACCCACTTCTTCATAAAAGCGTATCAATTAAACTGTTAATAGCTCCTGACTGATTCCTCTTCTGCAACTGTCACTAGTCTAATACTATCCTTACCTTTTTGTGTCATTTTACCCCACTCCCTCTAGCATGTAAGCTCATTGAGCAGGGCCCTCAACCCCTCTGGTCCTATGTGTCCAACTAGCTGGTTACAACTACATGTCTGTTCGTCCACCCATTGTAAAGCGCTGCGGAATTTGATGGCGCTATATAAATATAATAATAATAATAACTGTTCCCTTAAGGACCAGTTGACAAGTGTGCTAGGGAGAGTGATTCTTGTATGTGTATGTTTATCGAATGGTTTAGAATGCCTGTCTATATATTTTATATAGTTATTGTGGGTCAGGTGAGATTATGTTTTATGTTGTTTTTGTGTTGTAGAGCAATGAGTTTCCTAGTCCTTCCACACAAGAAGAGAAGACGGTTAAAATATGGTTATTAGATTTGCCACAATTAACGATGAGGGGATCAATTCGCATTTTAAAAGATATACAATATTAGATTATATGTAGAGTTGAGCAAACCCGGACTGTAAAGTTCGGGTTCATACCGAACATTAGGTTTTTTGGACCCCGGACACGAACACGGACATATCACTGTATGTTCGGGTTGGAGTTCGGTGTTCAGCAATTTAATGGCGCATTTTGAAAGGCTGCAGGGCAGCCAATCAACAAGCATTTGACTCGTGTGTCCTTGGAAGCCATCACAGCCATGCCTACTAGTGGCATGGCTGTGATTGGCCAGTGCAGCATGTGACCCAGCCTCTATATATAAGCTGGAGTCGCGTAGCGCCGCACGCACATGCGGTCTTATTAGTGTAGGGAGAGGATGCTGCCGCTGATAGGGACAGCTTAGGAAAGAATTCTGGTATATAAGTGGGGTGGGGTGCACTTCATATCTGAGAGTCAAATAGAAGCTTCAAATATCGCGGTTACATCGGAGTTTTAAAAAGTAAATTTCTTTGCTGCTAAATAGTACATTAGTGGGATAGTACATTAATGGCGTCCACTTCATATCTGAGAGTCTGAGAGAATCGTCAAATACTGCTGTCACATTGCAGTTTTAAAACTTAAAATTTTTTGGGTGCTAAAAAGTACCTTAGTGGGGTGCACTTCATATTTGAGAGTCAAATAGAAGCATCAAATACTGCTGTCACATTGCAAAACTTAAAATTATTTGGGTGCTAAACTGCTAAATCGTATTTTAGTGGGGTGCACTTCATATCTGAGAGTCAAATCGAAGCGTCTAATAGTGTGCTTACAGCACAGTTGTAAAATTCTAATTTTCTGGGTGCTAATCTGCTAAATAGTACATTTTGGGGCGTGCACTTCATATCTGAGAGTAAAATCGAAGCGTCTAATAGTGTGCTTACAGCGCAGTTGTAAAAATTCTAATTGTTTTGCTGCTAATCTGCTGCTTACATTGGAGTTTTAAAAAGTCAATTCTTTTTATTTATTTTTATTGGTGCTAAATAGTATATTTGGGGTGTTCACTTCATATCTGAGAGTCAAATCGATGCGTAACTTTGATACGGATTTATTACATCATTCACTTGTAATATTGTTTCACACCTACAACACTTGTTACACAGATACCCTCACAAGTCAAACTGAGAGGTCAATTTATAGGGAATACTGTTGCCTGGATACAATTCTAAAACAATTTCCATATGTCCTTTGCAGACTTTACATGCTGGAAAAACACAGGTGCCAACTGCTGTGGCTTTCTGCAGTGTTCATACCGGCAAGGAGGGCAGGGTTGAGTAGTGGGTGGAAGATAATGTGGAGGATGATGCGGTCCTAGACCCCACATGGAATCAAGGTCATGCGAGTTACGTGTGCAGTTTGGAGGAACAGGCGCTGGTCGAACAGAGGCACCAGCCCAGCATAAGAGGGAGCAGGGTGCAAAAGTGGAGTGGCCGTCCCCTAGCGTTCGTCGGCATGTATTAGCTCACGAATTACCAGTTATCCAAGTAATACATGTAGCAATCAAAGGATCCATAATAGAGTTGAGCGAACCTGAACTGCATAGTTCGGGTTCGTACCAGATATATAACGATACATTCGTAGTTTCACAGTCAGGTGGGCAGTCCGGTGACCAGGACCCAGACAATGTCTGGGTGGCGGTCGGACGTACGGGACCCAGTATGCCTGATGTTGAAGTTAGGAGTCACAGTGTGGAATGGATTAGCAGGGTCTGGTGCAGGGTAACCGCACGCCCCCTGGTGTTGAGCACCAGCATTTGTGCGGCCACATACCAGGACCCTGATGCAGCTTTAGTAAAAAGAGTACTGGATACCAGAAGCCATCACCAGACTGATCCGCAACTTGGAACAGGATGTGACATTCACTGTAGCGGCTGTGCGCGCTTTTGGCATTGTCACCCTGCTGCTCGCCTGTCTGCGCTGCAGCGTAACTTCTGCCTTCCCGCTCACCGCCTCATGAGACTGTGCGAGCAGCAGAAGGCGATAGTGGAGTTTCAGCTGCAGCATGCACGGGTCAGTGACTCTGCACCAGACTTCCCTCCAATTGATCAGAGTTAAAGGATTTCAAGTGGACTCATTACAATTACAGGGCCACTAAAGAGTTATTTGTCGTCACTACCTTCCCGCGTCGGGAGTGGGTCATTTGCGCGCCTGCTGCCTTCCTTGCATGTGGTGGCCATTTCTCAGGGTCCCTGTATGGAATGGAACCCTGATTCCCTGTTACCCGTGATCACCATGGTAGGCACAGATATATATATATAAAAAACAGTGTTGGCTACCTCATCCTCCTCCTCCACCGCCACGGTCACCGCCTCCTCAACCTATGGGTCACTTAGTATAAACTAGGTACCCATTAGCAGAGGCTTGTGAAGGCCTTTTCTCCATGCATCAGGAGTTGAGCATTTCTCCATGCATCAGGACTGCAAGAAATGCACCTCAGGCCGCAAATTTTTCTTTTTTTGTATGTCCAAATATTATGTGGGCTACCCAATTAAAATAAAAAATAGATATATATGAACAGTGTTGGCTACCACCTCCTCCTCCACCGCCGCTTCCACCTACACCGCCAAGGTCACCTCCTCCTCAACCTAAGGGTCACTCAGTATAAACTAAGCAGAGGCTTGTGAAAGCCTTTTCTTCATGCATCAGGAGTTGAGCATTTCTCCATGCATCAGGACTGCAAGAAATGCACCCCAGGCCGCAAATGTTTCTTTTTTTGTACGTCCCAATATTTTGGGGGCTACCCCAATTAAAACAAAAAAACATAAAAAACAGTGTTGGCTACCTCATCCTCCTCCTCCACCGCCACGGTCACCGCCTCCTCAACCTATGGGCCACTTAGTATAAACTAAGTACACATTAGCAGAGGTTTGTGAAGGCCTTTTCTCCATGTATCAAGAGTTGAGCATTTCTCCATGCATCAGGACTGCAAGAAATGCACCACAGGCCGCAATTGTTTCTTTTTTTGTATGTCTAAATATTTTGGGGGCTACCCAATTAAAATAAAAAATAGATACATATAAACAGTGTTGGCTACCTCCTCCTCCTCCACAGCCACTTCCACCTACACAGCCACGGTCACCGCCTCCTCAACCTATGGGTCACGTAGTATAAACTAAGTACACAATTGCAGAGGCTTGTGAAGGCCTTTTCGTCATGCATCAGGAGTTGAGCTCAGTTTGAACAATGAAAGAGAATACCCTGCACTCCAACCCTCTCTCAAATGGATAATTCTGGTGATCCTCCTGACAGCCATGCTTTAGATTTAGATTTATGTTCTTCCAAAGCTAAAATCAAAGATTTAATCTAGTGCTATTTTATGGCTCAGCTGTATTTTTAATTTTTATGTTATTTTAAGTGATTTCCCTATCCACGTTTGTTTGCAGGGCACTTGTCCTACTCTTACCCTCATTTTACTTGCTTTTGCAGCTCTCTAGCTCTTTCCAGGAGTTTTTTACAGGCATTTTTGTGCCCAAAAGTTCGTGTCCCCATTGACTTCAATGGGGTTCGGGGTCAAGTTCGGGGTCAAGTTCGGGGTCAAGTTCGAGCCCGGAATTTTATTCAAAGTTCGACCGAACCCGCCGGACCCGAACATCCAGGTGTCCGCTCAACTCTAATTAAAGGAAAAGAAAACATATTAACATTGGAGCCCTTCAAGAAACCCATTGGAGCATGGATAATAAACATAAATGTAATTCAAAATTTTATCCCCCAGTTATAAGTGCAGCACTTACTAATAAAAAAAAAAGGGGGTATTGCTTTCGTCTTTTCAAAAGATATTTCTTTAAAAAATAGTCATCAAGTCTTAGCTAGTGAAGGCAGATTTATTATTTTAGTATGCAAAATCAATAATCAAAAGTACACCATAGCCAATATAAATGCTCCAAATACATCACCAATTCCATTCATTATAAAAGTTTTATATCAAATTGATCGTATTAAATTGGAACAAGTTGTAATTATGAGAGACTTCAATTGTATTTTAGATCCAGATTTAGACAAACGATCATTGGATAAAAAAGTACAAAATGGGAGCTTAGTGAACAATGCTAAAAGATTCACTGAATGCATTAAACGTCATGCTCTGCTGGTGGATATTTCACCCCAGTGAAAAATACTTTTTGTGTTTTTTCCTAAGTCATTCAATTCATATTCTAGAATTGATCTGATATTAGGAGATAGATCTGTAGCAAAGGTTATTAAAAAAATCTTTATTACTACGACTTCATGGTCTGACCATAATCCGATAATTATGAACTTAGACAATCATATCAAAAAACACAGATTGGATTTAAAAAAATGATATGAATTTATAACACATTCAAGATCTAACAGACTTTTTCTTTAATGAAAATAGACGGAAAGAAGTAACGGCTCCAGTCACTTGGTGCCCATATAAATGCGTTATACGAGGCCATCTAATACATTTTGACTTCTAAAGAATAAAAACTTAATAAAGAAAAATGTATGAACCTAGCAGAGTTATATATAAAGCTAGATGACTTACGTTATCAAAATAGCCAAGCTCCCTCAATACAATTTTCTAATAAAATAGCAGATATTAAAAAACGAATTAATGATCAATTAATTATAAAGGCTAACAGAGTTTTAAATTTCCTAAAAAGGAAATGGTACCATTTGGGAAATAAAGCTGACAAACTTATGTCTACTCGTTTAAAAAAAGAAAAAGCGAAGAGAGTCATTAATAAGATTATTGACAATGGCATAACGCTTTTGAGACCGGATAAAATAGGAACAGCCTTTAGTACTTCTTATCAAAATTTGTACAATATAATGGATAGGCCTTCTAAAAAAAGATATCAACAGTTTTTTTAACAATATCTCTCTACCGAAATTGACACAAAACTGATTGTTACATTTAAACAAACCATTTACAGAAATAGAATTAATAAGTTACATTGATAAATTAAAATAGATCTGTTAGATATGTTTAATGCCTTTGGACAATCAACTAATATCCCTAAAGAACTACTGCAGGCAAATATTGTTCCAATACGGAAAGAAGATAAAAACCCAGAATTGGTTAGGAATTATAGACCCATCTCTCTGCTGAACATAGACATTTATTCGTCTATGTTGGCAGAGAGAATGATAAATCCTGATATCATTACTGATAAATCAAGGCCAAGTGGGATTTATTCTGTGCAGATCGGCAATTCATAATACTAGAAGACTCATAGACATTCTAGAGACTGTACAGAGGTCAGGGACTCCCTTGCTTACCATTTCGCTAGATGCAGAAAAAGCATTTGACCGGGTCAGCTGGGAGTCCCTGAATTGTACCCTGTCAGATTTTGGAATGTAAGGTAGGTTCCTCAAACTAATATGAGCATTATATATATCTCCAACTGCTAGGGTTTTGGGGAAGGGGTTTACTTCTGATTGGTTCCTCCTAAACAATGGAACTAGACAGTGGTGTCCCGTATCCCCTTTGCTTTATATATTGTCCTTGGAACCGCTAGCGGAGGCCATAAGACAAAACGATGGAATTTGGGGTTTTAATCCTAATACAAGCAACATCAAGATAAACATGTATGCTGACGATGTAGTTTTAACTCTACAAGACCTGGTTCAATCATTAACACAACTGGTAAAAACAATGGAAGAATTTGCAAAAGTATCAGGATACATATTAAATATGGATAAAATAATTTTACCAAGCAATATCTCTAAGGAAATAAAAAAAAAAATAATAATTACAGAAAAATTTGATTTATTATGAGCAGAACATTCACTTAAGTACCTGGGTATTAATGTGTGCTCCGACCAGGATAAACAAATAATCAAATGTAATTTCCTCCCTTTAATGTTTCAAACAAACAAATTATTGAAGGAGTGGAAATCATTGGAATGGTCTTGGTGGGGAAGAGTAAACATTGTAAAATCGTTTATATTATTTGATAGTTGGCTAACAATGATACAACATGCATTTCTAAAATTCATATGGCAGGGTAAAAAAACAAGATTGGCCAGTAAATATCTAGCTTTTAAAAAACACAAGGGCGGGAGGAGGGGGGGATTTCCATTGATCCATTACTACTATAAAAGCAAGCTTTCTATTTCATAGTATTACTACACAAATGTCTGTGTCTAAGCAAGAACGCTGGTATGAGGTTGAACAGGAACTCATGGAAAAAAGTGACGTGATGAAAACTAAGTCAAACTCTTCCCTTCTAAAGCTGAGTTCGGGAAGTATTGTGGTGAATTCTATTCTCAAAATGTGGTTAAAGATAAAATTTGATATGAAAATAAAAAAACTAATAATTAAAACCTTACCTTTTAAAATTATTTCTTATAACATTAAAGATCTCAAATTAGATCAATGGAACAATGTGGTATTTTACATAGAAAATTTAGAAAATTGCAGATGTAATGTCAGGTCCTATGATCATGACATTTGAAAATATTACCGAACATTTTAACTTTATAAGGATCAAAAAAAAATTGAAGTTTTTTTGCCCTGTCGAAAATCTCGAAATGCATGAGGCCCTAGGAAAACCTATTACAGGCCATGAGACAAAAAAATCTTTTTAAAAAATGCTTTATTATTTTGAAAATATCTGATTTGCCTCAATTCTTTCCAGCACTTAAAAAATGGGGAGAAGATCTCAATAAAAAAATTTCAGGTACAGAATGGACATATTCATGAAATCTAGCTTTAAAAAACATAAACTGTTTGAATTTAACAGAACTCCAATTTAAAATCATGAATAGATTTAGTACCGAGTCGAGTCTTTTGGCTAAGATATATCAGAATGATTTATGTTGGAGATGTAAAGCAAGCAGGGGAGATTTTATACATATCTGGTAGAATTGTGACTTAATCCAAGTGTACTGGAAGAATCTACATTCTTAGATTCAATACATTGCAGAAGTAGATTTGCCCTTTAGCCCTGATATAATTTTGATGCACTGTGATTTAATTAATGCCAATGAATGTTTAAAAACTTTTCTTATTCTTATTCATATATTGGTGGCAGTAAAAATTCTTGTTGCCAGATATTGGAAACAAGACACATTGCCTAACTGTTTTTTAATAAAAGAACAAGTATTGTTTCAGTTGAAAATGAATAAAGGATTGGCACATCACTGAAATAAAACCAAAGTGTATATTGAAAAATGGATTTAAAAAAGTCACTGTTTGTCAACTAACATAGTTAGGTAAAGCTATATGTATATATATATATATCCTATCCCTTGACAGGTGCCATTGTAGCAATATAATCAGTGATATTCACTTCACCTGTCAGTGGTTTTAATGATGTGCTGATCAGCTTATATAAACATACTTCAAAATTAAAAGCTGAAATTAACAAAAAGTTTCAAATAATTATATCATTAAACAATGCGGACTGCAATGGGCTTCCGCAATTATTAGCGGCACTCTATTTATTAAGAAACTGAGCCAATCATAGAGATGCATTGGAGCAATGTATCTCAATGGGGAACGTTTAGCGCCTCCATGCACTGTGCAGCACTGATCCTAGAAGCACCTCTAGTGGCCATCTGAGTTACTGTCTCTAGAGATCTTACTAGGCAGTAATGTAAACACTGCCTTTTATCTGA